CCCAAAATGAACGAAGAAAGGAAAGGGAAAATCCACTTAGTCGATTTAAAGAAAACTCACCAGGTTCAAAGTTGGGGATGGATTTCTTCGCACCAAGTCCGGCATCGGCAAGTTTTGAATTCTTCACTAACAAGCTCCACTTGCGTTCTGGGACAGTTAGCTTAGCGAGCTCGTCAAGTCTATCCCTGAATTCACCAACGAGTTTGGGCTCTCTCTTCCTCTTGGCTACAAATACGAAAATGTACGACCTGTTAGCGAAGGAGAAACAGTCGGTCAGGAGATTCCAAGTATAAAAGAGAAACTTACGAAAGGAAAAAACAACTCGGGTGGGGACCGTCATCCCATCGATTGGCATCTCGAGGCGAAAATCGGGAGATTGCCAATTCCCACCAACCCACAACCATTCATTTTGGAAGCCATGAAGGGTTTCAGGGATTCCCGTGATCAATTGCCCCATCTTCAAATCGTCTTGTGGCTTCGCCGAGCAGAAAAAGCAGTCGATAGGTGGAACGCCTTCGCGTTCCCGACTTCTTTTGAAAAAGAAAATGCTCCGGAACTCGTCAACCGTTGGGAACGACCATTTTTTCTGAGCCAGAAAGACCATAAGGCCGATGATCTTCTTCCAGCTGTTAGGGGTGACTTGGCTAAAACTGATACCCCAATCACGCAGGTAATCAGTAATCACGTTGTCGAGAGGAAACCTCAGACCCGACCTCAGACTCCCGACAAAAATCCCGACGCACCCAGGAGGTGGACAGTGGATCCTCTCCCCTGGATAAGGAGCAAAAATTCTAACCGAGGTGGGGATCCGAATTGACTCGCGCAACAGGACCACGTCGACGTCGGTCATGCTGCTGGGTTCTCCCAGAAATAGAACGTCGGCGTTGGGCCATCGTCGAGCCGGACGACTTCAATACCCTGTTTTGACGGGGATCTCCCGCTCCACCTCGACATCCCCCTCAAAATTATTCCTGCGAATTTCCAGACGCTCAACGAAAATGGGGTCCCAACGGTAGTATTCCCCCATCAATTCCTCATCCAATACCTCGTCTGATACGATCCGACTGCTACTTGGTTTGGCTTGCTCGTCGCTCACCGCCGCCATTATCACGACCAGAAAGAACAAAAAGAAATTAAGGAAAGTGAAGGATAAAATTAGGGCTTACCGAAAATTTGGGTGAGCTCTTGGAGAGAAATCGCAAATCGTCAAATGGAATGGTTAAAGGAAATAGAAGATACAGATGGGAAGGCAAAGAGAAGATTTGAAAAATCGAAAAGCAAAGAATATGTTTAGATATAGACTTCGTAAAATGAAATCGTGCCGATATATATATATATATATATATATATATATATATATATATATATATATATGGGGGATTTTCCGACCATTGGGGATGGAGAGGCGCGTGTAACCGTCACGTCTTTTTGAAGAAACGCCTTAAATCTCGTCATAAAACCTTACAGCTCGATCTCAGGCGTATATGTGTCCCGAAACCGTCAGAACGGGCAGTCGTTATCTTTAATATGTGTCCGTTAAGAAGAGTAGTAGAAAGGACACGTTCCTTGTATCTGGAAACCGCTTTGTAACCGTCTCATGGCTTCCTACACACTATTCGATTGAAGAGCACTTGATTTTCGACTAAGGGAATCACCTCGGGATACTCGGAAGGGTCTCAGGAGGTCTTAGGAAATAGAGGTCGGACGGAAGGAAATTGTCATCAAGAAGCACCACTATTCGTGTACTCCTTAATGCCAGGAGCCTCTATGTTAACATAGAATTCAAATGCTGCAAATTAATGACACCCCAGGAAGATAAATGGAGATGGTTAGGGTTAATTGTTAGAGGTCCAATCTGTGAAGATCTGTTCCCGGGGTCACCTCGGTATCAAATCGACACCTCGGTACAAGGGACTCACTATATTGAAATCCCGCAGAGAAACCGAATTCACGCAGACCCGACTTCCTGCCAACAAAAGGCGACGTCAGTCAATCAACTGATGGACTGCCCATCCCTTCATCATTGCCTACATATCGGCTTACGTCATAGCCGCCTCTATGCTGTCAATCCGCATTAAAGGCAGCCGCTTCTCCTCAAAAGGCGCGTAGAATGTTACTATAAATAGCCGCATTTAACTCGATACGAGGATTCCGATCCGACACATTAAATTCTCGCATTTAACATCTCGGTTGCATCTGAAAACCGACTTCCTGTATTGAAAAACCGACTTCTTCAACTGTAATACCGACTTAAAAAAAAAACTCAATAAAAGCTCTATTTTCTGCAACTTTTGTGATCATATGCACCTTAATTACGTTGTTAAATTCCGTTTATCAACACAGTTTATTTACCCAGTCCAAACCCGTGTAGGTGGATTCTCGGTAGGGGGTTCTCCTTAATGGGGAAAATGCGGACGATGAACTCTCGAAAATGTGTACAAGTTGTTGAAATTGAGCCCCCACCATTAAGGATGTTTCCAAGGGATCATAGTCTTCCACCGGCTCCAAATCACTATCAATGTCTTCAGGCAAATCATCGATCTTTTCCTCATGTGTGTCACTAACGTCTACATAAGACATTCTACAAATAAATGTATTTGCTAAAAACACACACACAAATGTCGACAAACAAATTATAACATAATCATGCAGTAGCAAATGTAGCTTGGAAACAAAGTTAAACATAGTACTCTTGAAGAGAATATGAAGATAGAGAAGTCTAACGAGAAATAAAGAGCAATAAAAAAGTTCGCCATCCCCCTTCACTCATCACCGAGGTTCTCATCAATCCATATTTTAATTGTAAGACGACGTCTCTCGTCACTATTAATCGCTGCAAACATAGCTCGATTGGTGGGATCCCGAAACTTCTTGCACACAAATTGAAAAAGATTAGGATCCATATCTGGCATTGCTTGAAGGTCGCGCATAGCTTGTTCCATTGTCGTTAGCTTTGGGGGCTTGTTGTTTCTTTCTTTAAGGGATACATTCAAGTCTGACCACGAATACATGGCCGTGTCAAAACTAGACTTTGTGCCTCTCCTTGGACGAACGGACCGTCTCTGTCTACCATACCGTGCATGAGATGTCGGGGTCACCATTGGGTCGTTATCTTCCTCCGCCACAAATTCGTGGCCGACATTTCTGGATGGGTCACCACCGATGCTTCTTTCATCGGTCACCCGTTGAGTTGATGCCCTCGCATTCGACCCCGTAGCAGTTGTGCCGTAAAAAATAGTAGTCAGTGCTTCATAGTGCTTGCACACCTTACCCTCCATGTCATGAGCCCTTCGATTTGCCTATGCACGTGACATAAAAATGAAAATTTTAACAAGATGAGAAGAACACATCAATAGCACCAATAAAAAGTGATGAAAAATATTTTTTAACAAACAAAACTCAGTAATATATACTTGCAAAATAAAGCAAATCACCTTCATGAAATGATCAATTTATATAACATATACAACCACAAATCAAATTACCTTACAAAAAAATATTTTGCAATTAAAAGAGAAGTACATGCCACAGTAATAGCAAGCAAAAATCACTCGTCAAAAGAGCAGTAACATAGAAAACAATTTGTATGTTAAATCATGGATAAAAAATACTCACTGTTGTCCATTGGTTCCAACGTTCATCGGTCCCCGTAATCAATTTTTATTTTCATCCCATCCCCATCCCGTAGCGTTGGTAAATATGTTGTGAAACCTTTTCCAATGGACTTTCATACGTTGGTACTTACTATACAGTTGGGCGACTTTATAAGGATAGAAAGTAGGATACCGCTCTGTCAACTTCCCAAGAATGGTCGTCCATTGATTAGGTGTGAACTTACCGGCTACACGGTTTCCCAATTGGACTTCTTCCAACAAAACACTCACAAATGGGGCTTCATTTTCGGGAGGCCATTTCGCGTCTCCTTGACTATTATCAGTTGAAGTACCAATACCACCGGTATATGACATCTACAATTATGACATATAACAAACCAACTACAATGTGGTATGGTACTCTTCACATGTAAAAATAAATAAAAAAATTGGAGATACATGAAACAAAACCATATTTGTTCTACATTCTACACACCAAAAAATAAAAGGTAACATCAGAAATGGCCTATACTTTGAATTGAAGTTTCAAAATTTCCCAACATATTAACTTTCAACACAGCGACAAGTACATAAGGTTAGATGCCCTCAGCAATTAAACTACAACAAAGTGTACATCCAATTTTCCCTTACTGTCTTTTTCCCAACAAGAACAAAAACCGATATAATAACATGAACATGTTTTTCGGTTTACAAAACCATCTTCTTAAAAACCCCCAATGTCATTGAACCTTCTAAACTTCAACAATGATTATAAAACATAATCAACATGGTGATGGAGTAAGAACCTAAAAAAAAATAATAATAATAAACGAAGTAACACAAAGAGGAGTATGATGTAACATAATCAACATATCCGACATAATTATTTTTTTTTCAAATATTCAAAACTTAATTTTGGGGCGCACCTAAACCACAATCTTGCAGGCTTAAAAAATATTGATCTGAAGTACGTTTCAATTTCGATATTAAAGAGGAGTATCATGTACCTTTGTTGGCCGGAGTCCTTTTTTTTTCGGAGATGTGACGGAGATGCTGCCAGTGCTCTCTGTTGTTTCTTCAGGTCGCCGTTCGGTCCTTCCTTCACCGTCCTCACCACGTTCTGTTGCCGGTAGAGATTGTTGTGGGGAGAGATACATACGCCGCACAGGTTGGTGAGGGATTTTATGGAGGAAGAAATTGAGAATTTATCTGCTATCATATCACAGACAGCTCTTTCGATTTGAAATGAGCAAAAATTGGTCAAAAAAGAAGGACAAGGCAATGAATTCTGGCAGGGTGGGTCAGTATGGGTTTTCTGTGCGTGTAACGTGCAGACTTTAATGTGGGCCCAAGGAGAAACCCATCAAGTTATAAACAATCACACTTTCAACAGTAACATTGAGTTTNTCAAACCTCTAATTATAGTCAACAAGCACTTTAGCCATAGTATACCTTTCGTTTTTCCTTTTTTCTTTTTAACAGGTATATGTAGACTGTAGTTGCTTGCTTCCATTCGCCACTGTTCGATCGAGGATCTCTATCCTCCACCCTCTTCCCTTATCTATGTATATTTGCTGCAAAGGTTAGCAAAAGGGGGCTCATTTCAAGTTCGACCTCCTATTAATCGGAAAGCTGCATACCAAATGGCTTTTGTGGCTGGATTATTGGTCGGATTAGTTGTCGGTCTGCTTCTGATTGTTGCTTTTGTTCGCTCCGAGAACGCCCGATCCAAGCGCCGCTCCGACCTCGTAAGTGCTCTTCACTGAATCTAAGTGTTGATTTGAGTTCGTATTCAACCAAGCGCCTGATTTTGATTGCTACTTATCCTTTTCTGCCTTTTTTTTTTTTTCATGCGGGAAGGCTACTACGGTTGCGTCGTTTGCGAGAATGACGGTGGAAGATTCGAGGAAGTTACTGTCGCCGGAATATTATCCTTCTTGGGTTGTGTTTTCTCAGCGCCAGAAGGTTTCCTTTTTATTTTTTTTCAGGTACTTCTTGTTCAATTATGTGGTTTACTGAGACTGATCTGTATTCTTTTCTTGTCTTCTTCTTTCTTTTTTTTCTTCCTTTGAAATTCAGTTGACTTGGCTCAATCTGCAGCTCGAAAAGATTTGGCCGTACGTCAATGAGGTAATTCTTTGCTATTTTATACGTTTTTCTTTCCCTTGTTTTTTTGGAGCTTCGACTTAATATTTGATGGTGTTGAGATTTGAAGGCTGCGTCTGAGCTTATAAAGGCGAATGTTGAGCCCGTTTTAGAGCAATATAGGCCCGTTATATTGGCTTCTCTGACTTTTTCGAAGTTCACTCTTGGGACTGTAGCTCCGCAGTTCACAGGTGTGTGTATGGCTTGTTTCTTATATGTAACCTAATTTAACATCCACTTTGTTTTTCTTTTTTCATTCCCCTTCTTTTCTATACATTATTGTGGTTTTTTCTTCCTGTGTTCGTGCTTGAAATTTTTGCTTAAATTTAAGAAATCAAACATCCCACTGTTGTTTTTATCTCATTTCTCTATTTTGCTCTTGTACAAAGTAGATAAATTATAATTGCTTATAAGCTAATAAGAAGTTAATAATATATTTTCCACGGCTTTGATGGTCTGCCATTTACAGATTTACTTAGTAGGAAACTTATTATAATACAAAGATTGCCCTTGAATTTACAGCCAGTCAGCCATGAGTTACTCATTGGCCACATTGAAACATATTCTGTTCATTTTCATTTTCATTTTCTTCCCTCAGGATTAGTGTATGCTATTGTTCCAAGTAGTAAAACAGAGTGAAGCAGCTTTTGGACAGAAAAGATTCATGGAATCTTGGTTCGAACGAATGAGAATAATTGCAGTTCAACCATCATGTTAGTGCCTTGACAATTTGAAATGGTAGATTGTTATTGAATCAAACTGCAGGAATTTACTGGATATAAAATGTTGACTAGGTCATAAGAGCAAGAGGTGCGGGTAGCCCGTGATTAATTTACCTTATAAGGGCCAAATTATAGATTAATATACCTTATTAGTGTCGAACTCTTTGGTGGTTTCTGAAGTAAGCTTGACAAATTCTTTCTAATGAACCAGTCCATTGCCAATACAAAAATCAAAGATTAATATTNTTTCCTTTATGCTCCAAATTATAGATTTTGAAGTGTTGGCAGTGGCTCATGTAGTTAGTCCATCACACTTTTTCCTGTTTATACCATATATATAAATATTGATTGTAAGCTTTGACTCAGCTAAATAGTCAAGCTTGTTACTGTTAGCACATCCACTTACTAGTTTTATGTTACTTCAGGAGTTTCAATTATTGAAGATGACAGTGAAGGAATTACCATGGAGTTAGAGATGCAATGGGATGGGAACCCAAGTATAGTACTTGACATTAAAACTTATCTTGGTGTTGCTCTTCCTGTACAGGTAACTTGTTTAAACCACTCATCTCTCTCTCTCTCTCTCTCTCTCTCTCTCACACACACACACACACACACACACACACTCACGCACTTGCTCACATAAAATATACTATTTTGTGCACTTTTTCAAGTGATGGTTGTGTGCTTTACTCAGTAGCTCATATTTAATAATGAATATACAGCTATTCTCACGGATTCATGAAAAAATATGCTACAATTTTGCAAGTTGCTTGGATGGTGCTGGAACAATTTTACAAGTTTACATACTAGTGATACAAGCAAGAATCCTTGTTTTGTTAATAAGTGTATTTGAACTAATAAACCCCCTGAGCCCTGAGGTTTCTGAATATATGTGCCCGGTAGTGACGTCATGTCATCTTTACTTTAATGCATACATGTATTTCTAACTGGGTACGCTTTTTGTTTTTGTTGAAATAGAAAGAAGTATGACCTTGTCTTTGGAAGATATATGTGTGGGCTACTGATAAAGTGTGTATAAACCAGTGATTAAAAAAGGCAGCGCCACGGCGTGGCGTGGCCTCTTCGTCTCGAATAGCCGTGGCGAGGCAAGGTTTCAAAAGGTGTCGCCGAGGCGCTCGCCACATGTGAGGCAACGCCGCGCCTCGGTGAGACGCGCGCCACAGAGAGATGAGACGAGGGGCAGAGGGTATTTTAAAAGTTAGGTTATGACTTGCGGTTAATTTCTTATTTCCAAATTAAACCTTTTTCTCTCGGACTAAATTCTCAATCTTGTGCCTTTTCTTCACCTAACCGAGGCGACCAGATTATGGTGGCTTTTCGGTAATGGCGACGGCGTCACTGAGAATGTGTTATTCTTTCCCCTTTCTTTTTCTTTTTCTTTTTTTTTCTTTTTTTTGTGTTTTTCGTATTCTTCTACCTGTTTCTGTTTGGACAACTGAGTGAGGGTTGCCATCGGTTGTGGATGGAGTGCTGGTTACGGATATCATTCCGGTGATGCTGCCGGCAGCCTAGAGTTAACCATTTTCCTTTTTCTTTTTCCTTTTTCTGTGGCTGCTAGGATATGTTTGCATTTTTGGATTTGATATTAGTTGGCAGCATACTTTTTTGAATATCTGGTTTGTGCCTCTGCATGTTTTTCTATTTTTTCCTGCCTGCTGTTTGAATATGGCTTCTTCAACATTTTTTTCAAGTTTTTCTTTTTTCTTCTGCCTACTCTTAAAGTGAAACTTTAATTGACAACATTGAGTTCGCATGTTCATAGTTCTGGTGCCTTGGACTATTTTTTAATTTTTATTTTATTTTATTTATCAATTTAGGAGTAGAATGAATAAATTGATCATGGTGCATAATTGTGGATAACTGGTGAATTGTATGATATACATCTATGTTTTGTATAGTAGCTTGTCTTGCTTTCATAAGGAGGCTTGTCTTGTTGGCTCGCAGTGCGCAATTTTAATCACTGATATAAACTTGGCTATCCAGTACTGAGGTAGAATGTTAAATTATATATAAACTTCCTTGTTTGCCATCCATTAAATCCATTCAGTTGACTTATTCTTCATTGGAGATCTACATGCTCACATAAGAACCAACAAATTTAATGTAGTCCAGCTTCATTGTGAAGATTCAATTCTTCTATGATGTTTGTGTTGGGTTCGGTGAGGAATGTCGGCTTCTATGTACTCGTTCGAAATATACAATTATTTATATGCTCAACGGTAATATAGAGCATATGATTTAATCGTACTGCTTAAAACGAATCAAGTAGACTCAGAGACGATTCTTAGGTCAACGAGATCGGGATCTAGCTGCGCGACATTAGTGTCTTCTGCCGTATTCCGCTCAATAGGTCTAAACGTCGCGTGGGCTACCAGCTTTCAGATTCTCGCTGTCAAATCTCAGGTCGAGGTCGATTAGTCATCAGCGTAGAAAGAAGGAAGAAATATCACGTGTTGTACTGGTAGTAGATTTAGGAAACACATTCCTTTCTCTATTCCCAAAACCTCACAATTTCTTATCTCTTAGAATAGTGTGCATGAGTTTTTCTTGCAAGAGAAGTCATGGAAGTTCAAGAGACTGTTCGTATATTTATATGCAACAACAGGGACCCTAAAAGTAGAACGTGTGGTAGGATAGGTGGACTGGGTTTTAGGTCACCCTACAGGCGACACTTAGCCCATTAATAATAATCCAATCCACTGAAGGATTATTATTGAACTTCCTGTCTAACCCCAAGTTTGATTTTTGTCTCTCAATGTTTATGATACCATTTGTCCATTGCAAATGGAGCTGGAAGAGTCATTGTTGACAATTCTCCTGGCATAATGCTAATAATGGACTAGATCAAAATAGCTCAATTAAATTCTAGTGCTTTTTCTATTAGTGAAGTTTCTAGAAAAAAAAAATATATCAAACGGCGCAATGCACCTTGGGTCGCTACGGAAACAACCTCCTTGCATAATTACAAGGGTAAGGTCTAGCGTACAACTGACCCCCCAGACCCCAACCTGTTGGGAATATACTGGGTATGTTGTTGTTGTTGTAATGTTTATGATACCAATAACCGTTTTAATTAACATTTTGATTCTTAAACTCGTACCACTTGGCATTATTATTTTGCCGAGTCAAAATCCACCAGGATAGCATAATAATTTTCTTGAGCTCATTTTAGGGACACCATCAACGCGTCAAGACACAATGTCCAAATATAATCAACAACACACCATATAAACAAAACATTACTTCACAACTCACCGAGTCTATTGAATTAATGAATAAATCTAGATCTTTGGTAAATCAAATAAGTACATACTAAATATACGTGCATGTCATTATATATGGGTTATACGGGTAATAGCTAAGTTTCTGTTTTTACTAAGTCAGTACCAAATGAATTTATACACCGCGTTCGTGTTCAATACATTCAACTAGCATGAATTAGTCAAAATCTCAAAATTATACTACAACCATTCATGACCATTCATGCTAGTTAGTTCATTACTATCTCGGTTGTGAACTATATATGTATATTTTATTAAGACCCGATAATATGATGTGCATAACATGATGCACATTATATCTACAATGTAAAATAAGTGAACAAGTTGCATCTGTGGAAACGCTTTTGACTAATCTCGATTCTCATTCAAAATTTATATGGAAATTTGATCATCTCGTATGGATTTGTACACTCTTTGATGACGCTTAGGGTTTGCTCTATGATTTGAAGTGAATTTATAGATATTATTTGAATTTTATTATATCCTTACAGACCTTACAATATATGTTTTTTCAAGTTTCTCCATTAACATTTGGAGTCTTCATAACATTTGAGTTGACATGTTGGGAGTTCATTTCCCATCAGGCTTTTCTGCGTTAGAAAACAAATTTGTAGGTAATCTTTTATGGTTACATGATTAAATACTACATGGATTGTACAATCTAGTGCTGATAAAGCCATATGTGGTGGACAAACAATTATGCCATACATGATTAAGTACTGGTACTATTTGTCAGTATATCAGTAACCTCAATTGTTCTGTACAATGCCTTAAAAGCAATGCATGTATATACTTCCAAATCTCTACCCTGGAATTAATTCAATAATCATATATATATATATATATATATATATATATATTTTGACATACTGTTATATCCTCCATTTTATTTGTATATCCTTTTATGTAATACTTCCCTTCTGACTGTTACATGATCCATTTTTTTTTTTCCCTGATGTAGGTGAAAAATATTGGGTTTACTGGGGTCTTCAGGTTGATATTCAGACCACTAGTTGATGAATTTCCTTGTTTTGGAGCTGTTTGCTTTTCATTGCGCCAAAAAGTATGGTATTTCCTCTAATTGGTTGTTTGATTCTTCAAGAATCATTTAGCATATTAAACGGAGAAATGTCTTGGTCAATTGTGTATGTATAAGCAAATTCATCCATAGTAATCTTTATGCATGGCTTGCTCTGTAATTGTTCCTTATTTATCACATTTAGATACTATATAGATAAGAAAGGATGGAGCTCTTAGACTCTTCACATTGCTCACATTCACCATCCACTGACAATTTATACCCTTATGCACTTGTCGAGGAAATGCCACTAAAATAGAAGAGTCTAATTGGGTTCTCTGTTTTGTTTTCAGAAAAAGCTGGATTTTACACTTAAAGTCATTGGAGGAGATATATCAACAATTCCTGGCCTTTCTGATGCCATTGAGGTCTGTTTATTGTGTTTCTATTTTCTCCATCTAAGTCCATATTTTTATGATAATTATGTGACTAAAGTAGAAAATTTATTGAGAAAACTATTAGTGAACATATTCTCTCTGTTTTTGAAATTTTTTTTGGTATATATGAAACATTCAGCATAAACAATAGATTTTTTTTTATTCATGTATGATCATTTCGTAGTCATCGACGAATCAACATTATAAACCTCACGATGTTATTATCATGTTATCTGGATATACTCAAAGAGCGTTTATTTTTACAGAGTACTATCAGGGACGCCGTTGAAGACTCTATTACTTGGCCAGTTCGGAAAGTCATCCCTATATTGCCCGGAGATTATAGGTATTTTACATTTGAAGAAAGAGCGTTAGTTTTCGAATTGGCCACTCACGTTATCCAGAAAACGAAGATAGCAATGTTTTCCATAAACAAGTTTTTTAAAAAAATTTAAACAAAAAATTACAGTCCATCCTCCATCCTTGCGAATTTAATTAGTTGGCCAAGTTTTAAAATGCTAGGCTGCCATTATTTTTGGTGTCAAGACCCAAATTCTATGTGTTGATCCCTAAGCAGCTGCCGTGTCAAATTGGACACGAACCTTTTTTGGCTTGAGAGAATTAGTTGGCATTATCTCTTTTGTTTCTTAGTGACCTTGAGCTCAAGCCGGTTGGGGTTTTGGAGGTGAAGCTTGTCCAAGCCAAAGACTTAACAAATAAGGACATCATAGGGAAATCTGATCCATATGCTGTTTTATACGTGCGACCTTTGCGTGATAGAATGAAGAAAAGCAGGACAATCGTGAGATCTATTATCTTGTTCTGTTACAGAGATCTCCTTTTGAATTGCAGGATTATGCATTTCCATTAACTTTTTTCTCTTTTCCCACAGAACAACCAATTGAATCCAGTGTGGAATGAGCATTTTGAATTTGTAATTGAGGATGCATCAACACAGCATTTGGTGGTAAAGATTTATGATGACGAAGGACTCCAGTCGTCTGAACTAATTGGATGTGCTCAAATTCAGCTAGCTGAACTTCAGCCTGGCAAGGTGAAGGTTGTGTGGTTGAAATTGGTGAAAGATTTGGATGTTCAGAGAGACAATAAAGACAGGGGTCAGGTAATAGATCTATTTTCAGTTGGTCTTTGTCATCAGGTATTTTCTATAAGAGGTGCTTGCAGTGGGTAAATGTTTTGAGATAAGGTAGGAGTAGATCAAGTGGGCGGCTAGAAATTAGTAATTTAAAGATAATTAGCTACATGTGTTAAAGTAACTGGTCAAAGTTCTCATGTGAAGGGATTGCTAATTCTAACACTTGCTGTATCCTTTCCTTGACTTGGTTTGGCTTCCAAATTCCAATATTGCTTGAGGTTAGTTGAAGTGGACAGAAAATTATAAAAAAATACAAAATTGAAGCTTTCATTTGGTGGTGTTTAAGTTTTAGCTATTTGAAAGAGTAATTGCTAACCGGGTATTGGCACTTGGACGTTGGAAGGTTCATTTGGTTCCATTGCAGTTCTACCATTTTTCTGCCCCAGAAAATGATGTTTGTATTTCCCAGATAACCAACCATCCTTAAAAAATATTCAATTAGTCTTAAACTCTAATTTGTGTAAAGCAACATTGACAAGATATTCATACTGGAAATTGTCTCCAGAAATGCATCATAGTTTCTATCCCGGACAACTATTCAGTTGAAACACTCATACAAATGAAAAAAAAAATAAAAAAAAATAGAAAGAAATAACTCAATGCATACAAATAAAACATGAAATTATACATGTAGGTGTGGACACTCATGTAGATAAAACTTAATGTAGCATGAGATCAAAGTAATTATTCATGAAATACAAATTAAATTTTTGTTATGAGTAAATTCCTACCTTTCTTAGGTTTCTTTTTCATTATGGCGTTTAATTTCTGTTTTAGTAGACTGCATGGCTACAATGTTTCCATTCAAAATATACAAAATACAAGGAGTTTTTAGGCAATTCAATTTCTTACTAAACATAGATATAGATAGATTTGAATGTCCAACTGCTTTTTCGAGAATTGTTCAAATGGAAATGCACATTCACACACACACATATATATATATAAGTATTATAACGTAAACACTAATAGGTGTCTTTATTGTTACATCTTTGCCAATTCTAGGTGCACGTGGAGCTTCTTTATTACCCCAATGGCATGGAAAATGGCTTTACTAATCCCTTTGCACAGAACGTCTCTATGACTTCACTGGAGAAGGTCTTCAAAAGTGGAGCAGAAGTGAAAGATGTTGGAAATGGCGACGGTAACAAAAAGAGGGAGGTTATTTTAAGAGGTGTACTTTCAGTTACTGTCATATCTGCAGATGATTTGGCACCGGCTGACCTGATGGGGAAGGCTGATCCATATGTGGTGGTCACTATGAAGAAAACTGGATCCAAGAACAAGACCAGGGTATGTTGCTCTTCTCGTTTAGCGTTGAGAATAAATCTAATGAATGGAGTGTTTGTTTTCACCATTTTGAACTTTAGGAATATTTTGTGGGGTTTCCCTGATGAGTTGAGTATCCTGCATTCATTATGTTTGAACATATAAATATTAAAGTGCAATGTTTATTCTTTTCTAGGTTGTGAACGACAGTTTAAATCCAGTTTGGAATCAGACTTTTGATTTTGTTGTTGAGGATGGATTACACGACATGCTAATTCTAGAACTATGGGACCATGACACATTTGGGAAGGTACTTCTCTTTCCTGTTCTCGGTGGTTGTATAGTGCATCTATTGGTGGAAGATGATTAATAGAAGTATGGTGCATAGTTGTGGTTTCTTCACATGAGTCATTTCCTAATACCACGTATAAGGTTCCAATAATTTACGTAACTTATATTATTATTTGAAAATATGCACATAATGTTAGTGAACAAGAACAAAACAGAATCTCATGGCTGGAATTACTTCTCATTCATAACTTATTTCCTGACTGTACACATATGAAGTGGGTTTAAAGGTCAAAGAATTGAATCGACTCTCATCCATGAGATTTGAGAAATCGACTTTGGTTTTTACTTACGACATGCTCCAGAACTATTTAGAAAGAAAATATTAAATGGGCAAGAAATTGGTAAACATCTGTTGCTGAACTAGGGGTGGTGTGAGGTTTGGTACGATGAAACCAAGGTAATTAGGTGGAGATTTCTATTTCGTTTCTAGATTTGTCAGATTTAGGCGTGGATCCAAACCAAAAAACTGGGTTAACTAGGGATATTTCTATTTCTTTATTAGATTTGTCGTAATTTATTTCTATTTCATTATTAGATTTGTCGCGGTTTATAGGCTATAGCAGTGATGATTCAATTTTCACTGTAAGCTAGGTGCAATAATGGTGCTATGTGTGTCTTATAAGAACTCCAAATTTTGTTCCCTGGCATATTTTTCTGAAAAAACTTAATTGGTTGCAGGATTATATAGGGAGATGCATTTTAACACTGACAAGGGTTCTAATGGAAGGTGAATATAAAGACTCCTTCCCACTTGATGGTGCTAAATCGGGAACAATTAACTTGCATCTCAAGTGGAATCCTCAACCGATTTACCGAGAGTCGTAGCCTTTCATCTGCAGCAACATAATCAACTCAACTATTTATACAAATATGTTTCCATCTATATAGAAGCATACTCAAATTCTTTCCAAGAGTCCAGACATCAACCCTTCCACAGTTAAGTAATTGTATAAGTGTTTTTGTTATGTGTCATTTTGGTGTATATAATTATTGCATTGGACAATTGAGCAGCAGAAATTTGGAAGTAGGACTTGGGAAGAAAATAGTGCTGACTTATCTGGAAATTAATGGTGAGTATAATAGATGTTCTTCATCCTTTCCCTTCATTTGCCCCACATGTTAACTTCTTGAGTAGCTTGAGATACCAATAGGTGATCCTCGTATATTTTTGCTGATAATAAAAATACAGCTGCCGAATTTATCCGACAGATGATTCCGTCATACCCAATGAAAATTGTTTTCTTCAGTTTCCTTGAACACAAGTTTTAAGATTATGGTGCCGCATTTATGACATTCGATGAATGCAGATAAACATAGCAGCTCTAAAGAAAAGTGATTCTCAGCTCTAGTTTAGAAGTACACATGAAAAATAACAATAATGGGGGTGATTTTTGTAATGTTATCCAAAAGTTCATTTTGAAGCATCATCAATTTTTGTTCCTCCTTATTAGCTGTTAGATTCAAAGAAAAGCTCAAGTGTCTACGTACGCTTCCGACCAACTGTGGTCCATGTTTTCTAAACATTGTTCAAGACTTCAAGTTCCGCGTAAGACTAATATTGTAAACATTCATAATTTGGTCGTGTGTGGTTTACAAATGTTGACTGGCGAAGATGTACGAGAGGTTAAAACTTATAAATGTTCATGAATTTACCAAGAAAAATATTGATGGTNTTTTCCCTACAACTATAAGTACCTCCCTTCCCAACCATTTTCTTCACACCAAGATCTCGATAATTTTTCCTTCTTGCTCTCTTCTCCCCCTCCGTTCTATAATTCTAACTAGTACATTCACCAGTGTATTATACGACCGCTAATTTAAAACTTTATAGTTATTACGATTATGTTCCCGACGATTGGATGTCGGAGCAAACTGAACGAATTATCACTTCCACCAATGATGGCGTTTGGCCAGATGAAGCAAGTGACATCACAACACATGATGGCCGATTTTGAAGAAGAAGAGGACCATGAAGAACCTGAACTAACTCTGACTCAAAGCTAGAAACTCACGTCCAATATATTACTTGTGCACTTCACGGAGCCAGAAGCTCCGGAAATTAATGGATATTGCAAGCGTGTTTGCAACCATTGTAAGGCATAGGAAGAAATTCAAACTTTCAAATTTGACGACACTTTCAACAACCATGCGAACAAAGCATATCGAGAAAATCAGTATATCAGGTTGTCAAATGCAACAATGTAAGCGTTCTTTATTTCAGTACTTCATATCCTATATGTCTCTTCCTTTTACTTTTTGATATATAATGTTGTGTATGTTATTAGTTGTTTGAGTGTAAAAGTGGATGTAATTATTTTAGTTCATTAATTGTGTCAACTCCACAACCACTCGACACATGTGAGTGTCAATTAATGGCATCTTCCAACTCATCCTCTCAAACACCTCATTAATGGCATCACCACCTCATTAATGGCATCTTCCAACTCATCCTCCGAAACACTTCATTATTGCTACGCGTGTGAGAAGTCTGCCCCTTGCTCCACTCCATCTATAAATATGGGAGGACTCAACTCGGCACATACATGGAAACGAAGAAAGAAAAAAGGAAGAGAGAGGAAAGGAGAAAGGGAAGAGGGAGAAAAATATTCAGTCCAAGAAAATATTAGAGGGATATAAATATTAGTGATAAAAATAGAGAAAAATTATCAGAGAGATATTTTTATTCCTATTTTTAAGTGCTCAATACTCGACTCCGTTCTAGTTCACTGGAACTCGTAAATCTGGTGTGCTACAGATTTAGAGACGTTTGCCGTTGTTGTTGTTGTCTTGAATTAACAACTCTAAATTAAACACAGTAGATGTCAAGAAAATAAAGATAAACGTTCAATTTGATTTTATTCGTTATATTCACAAGAGTACAGGAGTCGGTTATGTGTTGTAAACCGAGATCATTAGAAGTCCATGTACCATGTGTTTTTTATCAGCCCCTCGTACTATCATAAATTCTGCTATTTATAGTACGGTGGCCTTTGTCTTCTTGCTTGAAATGGATAAAGATGCATTTAATGTTGAGCTGTTTGCTTGAAGCGGCGGGAAACATTAATGATTGCCTTTTTACTGCGTTGGTCCAATCAGATGTTTCTAATGATTACTTTCTGTTGGAACATTCAAACTTTGTAATAGTCGGTCGAACTAAAAGTCGGTTTACTTGCGTTGGCTTTAGATGTCGGTTCTTGTGAAGACGGTTCTTTTTGAAGACCTTTGAAAGTCGGATCTTTGAAAGTCGGTAATTCTTCAGAAGTCGGAAATTTGTTCCAATACATACCGTCTTGTAGTAAGTTTACTTTCTTGCGAAATTATTTCTTCAATAATATGATTAATCTCCATCTTCAATCTCTGTTACTGGATTTGATATCAACAGTGAGGCCCCCGACATCAGTAAGTATTTGAAGCTTTTTGAATAGTTGCTGATGTCGTCTGTTGTTCCACTTTATTCCGACTTGTTTTGCATTGTTTACCGACATGAGAACACTTTGCTTTATTTGACATTCTTTGTATAGCATTTGATCTGACATGGCGGTTCTCAAAAGACGTGTCCGCATTAAATGGGTCCAACGGATATAAATTTATAACGACATGGCGTTTCAGGATGTGGCCACGTAGGTTAATAATTACTGTAACGTTATGTTCTTTGAAGACACGTCCGTTACACGCGCCGTTTCCGGATACTTCTAACGGTCATAAATCAAAACCTATAAATTAAAGTCAGTTTCGATGCGCGAAAAACTTATGTACCTTAAATTTCTTTGGTATTTGTTGCGTTCTTTCAGTAATCTTCCCTTTGCATATTTTCTTTGCGCTCTTGCTTTTTCTGTGATCTTTTCGTCAATCCAGGGTTCTGAAAAGTCTCGGTAAGAATTTGCCCTAATTCTTCCCATTTTCTTGTTCCGTTTTGAATTCTTTCTTTAATTTTATCGATTTCGGAAAGAAAGATGTCGACACGAACTGAGGATAGTAGTAGTAGGACGATTTCTGATATTCCGATTTTAACCGATGAGGATTTGGAATTGCCTCTCGAGTATTATCGATGGGATCCCCTGTTGGTGAAACAATTGAATCTTAATAAGGATATTATCGACGAGGATAGACGAGTTGAAGAGGATGCTATGTCACTTCCTGACTATTGGAGACGTCCTGCTCGTCGATGGCCCGAACCTATTGATGAATACAGGGGAGAACCAAGTATTCTTACTGACGCCGACATCGTCATTCTCCGAGAAGAGGTCTATGTTCCTTCGTCGGTTAAGTTATTCGCGCCTTATCCGGGCGAAAGGATTACTTGTCCGCCACCGGGTTGTGTTGGCGTGTTTGCCGACTCATTAAGATCGGGACTTCGTTTTCCCCTGTCTACGTTAATCACAGATTATTTAAGGAGCTGGGGAATAGGCCTTTGCCAGATAGCACCGAATTCATGGAAGAGGATTATCGGTCTTATGGTGCTATTGAAGGAGAAGGGTTGGGACATGCCGACCGTTGAGGAAATCAGAAATTTATATCATTTAGACGATGTACTGATAGACAAGTAGCAGATCCTCTAATTTGTTACGCTTGTGCGGGAAGACCTCAAGAAGGGCTGAAAATTGGCGACTTGGTTTCTGACATTCCCGAGTCGCTCCATGGATTTCAAGAGGAGTGGCTATGGGTCGGGGGAGATTGGCAGACTCCGAATTTTTCGAAACCCACAATTGATGGGATGTCAATCCCTATCAATATTAATTCTGCAATTTGTAAGTTTCTGCTTGACTCCTTTTTTACTAAGTTATTCTGACTGCTTGTTTTTGTACTAACAGGTCCACGCTTTGTTATTTGCAGCCAAGAGCAAGGGATCAAAGCTTAGTTCAACTCTGAAGCAAAGGATTTCTGAGTTATTCAAATTAAAGAAAACTCAACGTAGCTTCAAGTTGATTCTGAAGAACACAAGACTGAGAGCTGTCGGTCTTTGTCCCGAAATTTCTGACAGTTCGTTCCAACCAGGTAGTCCTGAGTATAATTTTCATCTTATTTGACGTCGGTTATTTTCGAGAACCGTTGTAACTCAGTGTTGTTCTTACTTTGCAGTTTATTATCCGCTCATTGGAGTTCTAGGTTTCAAGACCATTCGTGACGCTAGAGCTTTCCGCCAAAAGAGTCCGGATTTAGATCTTAGAACTAAAGTCGGAAAGAGTAAAGAATTACGTCTGACAGGAATGGGTCGTAAGAAGTTGGTGAAGGCTTACTTAGAGAACCCCATTATGAATCCGCCGAAAACCGACGTTGGTGATGGTGCGACGTCGGCGGCTGCGATCGTGGTGCCGCAACCGAATCCTCTGGCTATTGCAGCAGAAGGTCTGATGGCCGCTATTGCTGCTGCCACCGCTACTGCGTCTGAAGTTGAGCCTGTTATTGAGGCTACTCCAGTTGAGAATCCACCTATCATTGACCTAGCCTCAGATGAGCCTGATGGTGGCCATGAAATTATTGCTGAACGTAAAGTGCCAGTTACTCGGTCAAAGAAACGGCATGTGGAGGATATTCCGGCTACCGAGGAACGGAGAAAAAAGAAACACGATGTTGGTGATCGTGGAAAGAAGAAGAAGGAACCGCTTGTGGATCGATCCTTCCTACCAATTGATGAAGAGAGATTTTTGAATTTCAGGCAGCCTCGGGAATCGGTCGAGAAGTGGTTCTCGACTTTTGAATCAGTTGAGATTCCCGAGATCTCAAGCACAGTCGAACTACCTGCCCATGTTATTGATGCTGCTCGGGTCCCTATGATGGTATGGGATCCGAGATCCGAGATCGGCGTGTCCTCGCTGGCGAGTGCGTATAAGTTTAAGTATGCCAAAGCTTGCCTGGGTCGCGCGCTTGTTAGTTTGGTGATGGCCGAGGATGATTTCCGACTTAACGCGGCCCAGGTTGAGGAAAAGAAACACTCACTCGAACTCAGAGATGGAGCACTTGCATCTCTGAAAGAGGAAGCAGCAGCCAAAGAGAAGGAGCTGCAAATCAAGATCGGAGAGCAAGCTGAGCAATTGACGATCGCGCAAGGGGAAATTGAGGCCCTGAAGGTTGATAAGACTAGCCTCGACAATGATGTTCTAAAGCTGACAAGTCAGATTATCACTTCCGAGCAGCGCGTCAAAATGCTTGAAGAACAGCTCTCTCGGTGTGAGAGTCTCCTTCATAAGGAACAAGAAGCCCACGAGGTGACTCGGAAAAGTCGGTCTGAGGTCGAAGAATTGTTGAAGAAAGACCGAGACGTTCATTTGGCTAAGCTCAGCAAGCTTCAAGAAGAGAAAATTAAATTTGCTGAGGAAAAGTACAACGATGGTCTCCGAGCCGGGAGGATTCTTGAGGCAGAGGCGAACCGACTCAAGGCTAAAGCCGACTCTGATTCTGAAGACGAAGACCGGGAATTTGAAATGAACACTTGTCTGAATTTGCGCTGGATGGTTGAGCGCTTTGATGACGGTTTATATGATATCGAGGTAATTCGCCAATTCCTTTTCCATAAAATTAAAAGTCATAATTTCAATCCCTCTATTGCGACGACTCATATCGAAGCCGACGAAGACGAGAAGAATTTCTGTGAGGGCCTCCTTGCTTCCATTGGTGCTGAAACAAATTCTGAAGTTTCGGAATCAAGCCGAGAAAGGGAGG